CTAAAAAACAAAACAAAACAAAACCACTGTTTTTCTTTTATTTCGAAAAGAAATGTAGGGGCAATAGAGGCACCAAGTGACTGGCTTGCAAGTTTTCAAGAGGGAGTTTAGTTTACGAGTGTGTACGGAAGCTAGAGTCCCCACTGAACAGTTATCGTCTTATCTAGATGGATCTGGTGAAAAGAAGTGGGGATAAGATTCTTATGATTCAGTAGTGAGTAACTGTTATCATGACTAATTGTAATGGTCACAACTGTAAAAGTACAGGTTTTGTAACAAAAATGGGGGATTAGTTCATCTTACAGTCCAGGAACAGAGGACCCTACGGTCATCAAGGGAAAAGTGCACAGGTGGAATGCGAGACCTTATCCAGAGAAACAGAGATGAGGACATGGAGAGAGGGAGGTGCTGAGGACTCTAGATTCATGGAAAGAGATGGACTGAGTGCTGGTGACCAGGAGGCAGGCTTGCAGAATGTGCCCTTTGGTTATTTAAACTATAATATATTCCTGAGTGTTTTTGTTTTCACTACTCCCACCCCAAAACAACAGAAAACCCTAGAGGGAATGGAAGCAAATACTGTTGAATGATGATGCACGGAGGAGATTGTTATCATTGCAATGAAACGATGGTGTAAAGCCAATGTTCTCCCATGTAAACTATCACTCAGTTCACAATAAAACCTTAAAAAAAAAAAAAAAAAAAAGAGATACAAATGTTAAGTTTTCTTGAACTCCCATATTGGATTTCTTTAGTCTGCCAGGAGTTTGAAGTCATTTCTCATTGTAGTGCTAAATTGGAAAAAGTATTTGTGTTCAAGTAGGTGTCCTAAACATAAGCAAGAAGGGAAAAGAATTATCTAGCCCTTTTAAAAAGACTAACCCTTGATTATATTTTTTTCTCTGCTCCTTGAATCAAAGTATCTGCAGAATTAACCTTTGTGTCAGCTAAACAGCAAGCGACTCTGTAACCTAGTGTGATGTGCATGACAATGAGAAAAAAAAGGGCATTAGTAATAACTGTGCTGGGGAAAGAGAGTAGAATCTAAAGGAACCATTTTATGCATCTTTCTCTTAGGTTCTCTAGAGATGAACTCTTACACGGTTTTTTTTTGTAACTGTAAATAACTATTTTTCAGGAAAAAAAAGGGGGGGGATGTAATAGGAATCTTTGCTGTTCATCACTTCTGAATCGCTATGACAATTAGAGTACCAGGATGTTGGTTATAAATTCCTTCCCACTGTAAAGTGAGTGAGTTAAATGGCTCACAAAAACAGAAATAATTTTAAAAAGGGTGAAAATTCTGTTTTGGCCACACAGTTCTGACACATGGAAAACTGTCAGATGACAACAGAAGCGACAACAGCAGGGGGCAGTCCTGAGCCACAAGGACGTGCTCGCCACCCATCAGCTCACCCTGCAACTGGACTATGTAGAAGTTGGGAAGTTTTCCAGCTTTGTCATGACAGAACTTTCATCTGCTTCCACTCTAGTAAAAATCTTAACTTTAGACCAAGCTTTCCCTAGAAACTAATCTTCGACGTTTCATAAAAAACAACCATTCGTTGTTGGATGTAAGTATTTCACTACATTTGTATTATGTACACATGTCCAAAGAAATGGGTGGAGTTTCTGTTTGCTTGTATAATGCATCAAACAATGATTCTTAGAAGAAACACAACATTCACTGGCACCATGAAATTAGAAATTGGAAGGATCTTGAGAAAATGTCTACCTCCAAGTATGTCGATGAGAGCTATTTGAGGCGCTGTGGGTTAATGCACTGGACTGCAAAGTTGGTTTGAACAGCAAGGTTGGCGGTTCAAGTTCACCAGCCAACCCTCAGAAACCCTATACAGGGTCGCTATGGGTTGGAACCGACTCAATGGGACTTAACAACTACCCCTAAGGAACAACAGGAGTGGAGATCATATACCCTCCTCCCTCAGTAGCTAGTCCAGCAAGAATCACTTTCTGCTGGAGGTTCTCCCTGATTCAATTCTTTCACGGCTTTGTTTCTACTCAAAAAGTGCAGCCAGCGGACGTCAGTGGGCAGTTAGGAGCTTTTTGGATAACCAGACCCTTGTGTCCAACTCTCTACAGCTGAGGATTTGGAGTCACCATTTTAATAAGACCCCAGAGGGAGGGGGTTTATAGGCACAAGGAGGTCTGAGAAGCACTAGCTATCTGCCTTTCCTAAGTGGATGGGATACACTAGTCAGTATCCTTGTCTTCTGAAGACACTTATATTAACCAGCACCCTTCAGCTTCCTTTCCCTGAGCAAAAATCTCCAGCTCCAAACCTTACACATACACACCATAGTGTTGGGCTTGCATTCTACTTTCTTTTTTAAAACTTCACTGAATCCTCTGATTCCCTTATTACATTCTGAAAATCCAGAAAGAAAAATAGACACTGTATCTGAGCCTGTGGTGACTAGGGCAAAGCATTACCTCCCAACGTAGTACTTATTCTGAAACCTGTGTTTTTAAGAAAACAAACAAGAGGCTCTGGAAATATATTCTACCCATAAGAGATTTCAGAAACCCTGTTGACTCACGTGACTTCTGAATTTGGTAACTTATTACATAATTGTTGTTGTTTACTGTCGTCAAGTAGGTTCCGACTCATAGTGACCCTGTACAGGGTTTCTAAGGAGGGGCTGGTGGGTTTGCATCCAGTGCTTACCACACCAAGACTCCATTACTTAATTATAAAATTGCAATAATAATCCCTCAAGGACAAAATGCTCAATCAGCAGTAGGGTCCTCATTGAGCCTTTGATTCCAATACTTTACAGATGAGCCTCCAGGTCAAATTTCTTCAGTGATAACTTAGGTTTTCTCGTTGTCAGTATCATCTGTGCTCCCACACTGCCTCTTGCTCAGGTGGGCCTGCCTCAGGGCTATTTGCCTACTAGGCTTGTGGACGGCTGTTTACCCATCACCTGGCCTCAGTGTCACCTATGAAACTCCTAGGTTGAGTGCCATGCTGAATAATTGGATTATGCACATAGCAATTTTTATTGTGATGTTGGGTTTGCAAGAAATCAGGGAATTCTCAAAGAGGAAAACACAAAATATAACAACTTGAGCATTCACTGAGCCACTGACAACAGGTGCTTTTCTATTCATCTATAGAAGAGAGCTGGGGCTTGGGTCCATAGCAAAATCAAAGAGCTACCTGAGTGTGCTGAGGGAACTTGGAAAGAGTCTGCAACAGACTCAGGTTAGCAGTGACTGCGATTCCTGGGGGAAAGGATCCTACTATAGGCCCCAGTGTTTCACTGATGGAAGATCAGCTAACTCTGAACCCCCTCTGAAGGATGACCAAGACATACATGGAAGCAGGCTACTATGAAGTAGAGTGACACACCAGGTTCAGAACTAAAGTTCAAGATATTAGAACTTTCAGATACAGTAAATAATGGTTACTCTAAAGTTTAAAGATAACCTCATATGCATGCAAAAGCTGGAGAGTGAATAAGGAAGACCGTAGAAGAATTGATGCTTTTGAGTTATGGTGTTGGAGGAGAATATTGAAAGTGCCATGGACTGCAAAAGAACAAACAGATCTGTGTTGGAAGAAGTGCAGCCAGAGTGCTCCTTGGAGGACAAGATGGACAAACTTCGTTTCTCATACTTCAGACACATTGTCAGGAGGAACCAGTCACTGGAGAAGGAGATCATGTTTGGTAAGGTGGAGGGTTGGAGAAAAAGAGGAAGACCCCCAACGAGATGGATTGGCCAAATGGCAACATCGATGGGCACAAGCGTGGCAACAGTAGTGAGGTTGGCCCAGGATCGGGCAGTGTTTCGTTCTGCTGTGCATAAGGTCGCTATGGGTCAGTAACGACTCAATGGCACCTAACAACAACAACAACAACGACAACAACAAGAAGAAGGTTTAAAGAAACAAAGAAAAATTTACAAAAGTGATAAAGTAATAAAAGACTATGAAAAATAACTAAATAGAACTTTCTGATATGCAAAATGTAGTTGGGTTAAACACAGCTGAAGAGATCATTGTTTTTAAGTGCCGTGGAGTTGGTTCCAAGGCTGTAAATCTTCATGAGAGCAGGAAGAGATCATTAGAAAACTGCAATGTGGGTGTACATCAACCACCCTGGATAAACTACAAAGAGTCAATCAAGAAGATGAATTAAGAGGGCAGAATGAAGAAAGAAAATCTAAAATAGAGAAGGTGTAGCACGTAGCTTGTTTTAGAAAAACCAAAGAAAATAGAGGAAAGGCAAAAATGCACAGAGATAAAGGCTAAAAATATTCTAGAACTGCTTAATGATATGAATCCATAAATCTCAAAGAGCATAACATATATATACCACACCTAGACATAATGCACTGAAACGACAACTCAGCAAAGGTAACATGTGCTTCAAAAGCAACCAGAGAAAATATCACTTACAAAGAAACATAAATAATCAGACTAACAATAAGAAAAGTAAAAAATCAAGCCTGATCATATACCATTTCCGTGTTCAAAAGCTTTTTCAATGGCCTAATAAAAAAAAGTTTGAATTCTTCAGAGTTTGTTACTTAAGATCCTCCAGAGTCTATTATTATAACTAACCTACATTCTGATACTGCTTTACAGGGACCTTCTATCGGCATAAAACTAGATTGTACCCTGTTACCTTGAACACATTTTGCTACTTCTGTACTGATACCATGTCTTTCATCATTTATACTGCATACTGTCTCATATTACAGCTCTCAGTGTACATATTTTATTTTCCACCTAAACTGTAACTTTTTGAAGGCGTGCTCTAAGTCTTACTGAATTTTGGATTTTGTTCTTCCCCCATTCCCTTGTGTTTGAATAAATGAACACTGGTCTGTCACCAACTATTCGAAAGCAATAGATTAACGTGTAGCATAAGATCTTCAGCTGGGTTCCTTACAGGAGCAAAATCTGTGGAGTGTATATATGTGAACTTACAGACCCCATGAAGCCCTTTCTGCAGGGTACTCGGACTCACCTGTTTTGGTTGGCAAAAGATGCCTGGTCAATCGGGAGGATGCTGTCAGGCCAGGGGGCAGTCTGATTTGGAGGTGCTTGTTGTTGGCTATACTGAGGTCCCCCCATACTCATCTCTAATTCAGATGGCCCTAAAATAAGGAGAAGAGGAAAACAGAAAACTTGTAATTTGCAATCAAGAAAGCATCTGTTTCTACCCTGTAACAGAATACCTGGTTTATGGCAAATAGTAAAGACAAAAGCAGTAATAACCTGGATTGGAATAACAAAATATTTATTTTGAAATAAAACTAAAGAACATAAAAATATAGACTAATCACCCATCTAAGGGATTACCTAGATGGTTCTAACATCTTTGTTCTTAGGACCTTTTATATACTCTTTTAAAAAGCTTTTGCGTATATGGGTAATATCTTATTGACATTTAGTACAAGAGAAATTGTAACTGAAAAATTAAAAAAAAAATTAAAATATATTTA